CCCCAAAACCCCAAAACCCCAAAACCCCGTGAGACAAATCTTCTGATTTTTTAAAGTTATAATTATAAGAATGGAAAATTAAGTTGAGTAGGAAAATACTGAATTGCCATTTGTGAGAGAGTAACACGCTAACCTGTTATTGAATTTGGATAAGACTCTAGATAGTGATGCAATTGGATAGTATACTAATGAACATCTGAAACTGCCTGGTGGATATTGGTGCTTAGGGGCTTTGTACTTATTGAATAAGGTTCCTTAGTCAAGACAACAAGAGATATCTTAGTTTATTAAAGCATGCTAGCATGAGTGTGGTGGTTTTGGAGGTAACATTGGGCACGATCCAGGTCTCGTTAATACTCTTTATGCCTTGCTTATCCTAGCCATGTATGATAGTTTGGAATCTGTAGACTTAGAGAAGATGGCAACTTATATTGCTAGTTTACAGAATGAGGATGGTTCATTTAAAGGTGATTATGCCGGAGAAGTAGATACAAGATTTAGTTATAGTGCCCTCTCAGCTTTAAAGTTACTAGGTAAATTAGACCTTATTGATAGAAAGAAGGCAAGAGATTTTGTATTGAGATGTCATAATATTGATGGAGCATTTGGCGGAGTGCCAGGTGCAGAAAGTCATGCTGCTTATACCTTTTGCTCAATAGGAGCATTAAAGATATTAGATGATGAGGATTTAATTGATAGAGACAAATTAGGGGCTTGGCTCAGCAAAAGATAAACTCTCTAAGGGGGCTTCAATGGTAGACCTGAGAAACTACCAGATGTTTGTTATTCTTGGTGGATCTTATCTACATGCTTCATGATAGAAAGACAGTAGTGGATTGACTTCGCAGGATTAAAAGACTATGTGCTTAATTGCTAAGATCCTGAGAACGGAGGGATCGGCGATAGACCTGGCAATGAGGTTGATGTTTTCCATACATTTTTTGGATTAACAGCTTTATCATTAATGGGATTCTATGATTTAGAGAAAATTGACCACGTTTATGCAATCCCAGTAAAGGTTATCCAAAAGCACTTTCCTCATATATATAATTGAATAATAATTATTAGCTAGTATTATCTGAAATTATGTCATAAATATTCACTCATACTCTAACTTAATTATTTCTCTATAATTTTGAGCAAATGAGTTGAATTCCTTATTTAGAATTTAAAGTAAGTCCTCTTTAGTTCTGTAATGAGACCACGTTTTTTATTATTCCTAATACTCAAATCTACTTGGTCCACTAATTGGACTTGACAGCCAAATCTGTCTGTTCGGAGTTTGCTTATTCAATACATAATATTTGTTTCCACGCATTTCTATGTTCAAGACTCCATCTGAATAATTAGATTCTTCAAAAATGGGACTATTATATTCCTCTATTTATGACTACAGTGCCTAGTATTGTTTAGTAGGAAATAATTACTTGAATAAATTATGATGCCAAGACAGTGAAATTATTTTCTTGTATAACACAAGTGAATCCTCTAAATGCATTTGTACTTCTTTGAAGCTAGAAAGTTCTTTTGAAGTGTGATTTTAATGTCAGCATTAAATTTATAATATTGAATTTATAATTTATTATTTTATTATTTCCAATCTCGATTTCAATTAAAAAGAGAGGAATTGGGGTTTTGGGGTTTTGGGGTTTTGGGG